TGATATATATATCAAAAGTAATATTTTGAATAGCAATTAAAAAAAATACGGCTTTGTTACAAAAGAAAATTTGCTATCGGGTGACAGAGATGCAAAATGAAAGCGATAAAGTTCGCAGAATGGAATTTAGTATTTTGAAGGATCGATAAGAACTTGATTTCTTATGATATTTCATTTTACATTCCTGTGTAAATAATAAATTTAGTGTGCAACAAAGTAATACTTCTTTATGGTAACTCTTTCTTATATTGAAAGGGGAATAAGGTCGCGATCGGACGAACGATAGTCGCGAATATGCATTTCCAGCATTCGCAAAAACTATCGATTCCGCCGGCGAGCGAGAGCACCGCCTTCGATATGAAACTACGCGGCGGCACACTTGGACGAGACAGCATGCAAAATAGCGTGAGTGGAGGGAACACTTAAATTATGCGACCTGTCGGCAACAGTCTTTTAAGCGCTCGCCATGATAAATATTAAGTCCCTTTGAAAACAAGACAAAGTATTTTCACTTCCAGCGTGGCCGCGCCATTGTGCGGCGGAACGCGCTTTTATAGAAAATATTTCTATGAACGGCGCGGGAGAGCAGCAGCCAACCGCCGGAGGTAGAATTAACGTCGGAGATTGTTCGAAACTCCACGATTTTGCCGCCAAGCACTTCCCACTGCGATGTAACGGGATGAAAGATCCCATTAGCGAAATCAAATTTTCCGCCACAATGCGATATGATGGTTTCCCGGAAATTTCACCCGTGTGATCCACGTAGTAAACTTCTCGAACTCACGTCTGAATCTACTCTCAATGAGCGGCTAATTCATTTCTCACGATTTTTCAATGTCCATTTTCTCCCACGAGTAAGTCGTAAATGCAAGCATTCCGCAGTGCTTCATCGGTCAATCTCGAATCCGCAATTGAATATCGAGGAAATAATTTTGTTACAGTATACATTTCGCGTTGTATCGATGCCTCGCTCTTGTCTCGTTCATCATTTAGGTTACACTAATGCAACGCGCTACCCCGGTGGAGCTGAAAATCATCTACCGGATCGTTAGATAATATTTGGATATTATGCGGAATATTCAAGTCCCGGGCAATAGCACCGGCAGGCAATATTAATAATCGATTGAGGAAGAACTCGCCCGCGTTTGTAGCCGCGTGATTTTTTTTTATTTTATTTTAATCGCAGAACAATGCGTGATATATAGATGCATATAGCAATTAAATACAAATTTACAATATCTATCGAACAAATAAAATTGTCCATCTCTGCGTGATAAATGATAACTCTCCATATGACGCAATGCGAATATCGAATTGTAAAGTTTACACAGCTAAATATTGTAATGATATTTTGCAAAAAATTTTATGACAAATCTGTATCATATATCGCGGCGAATATGATGCATATTTCGATTAACGCGTTAATTTCAACATGAGATATTTTACTATTATGACTAAAAATATTGATTACAAATGCCTACTTTCCTACTTTTACGCACAACAGACCACACATACGAAGCCATACTTTGCTCTTTTATTAATGCCTTTGTAAAATGAAAGGATTATAATCGGATAGAGAATGATCTGATTATGTACAGGCTTCCCTTTCTTTCAATTTCTCGATCTATTACATTTTTCGCCAGATGTAAAATGATCATTGATCATGGATTACTGAAAGTGATTTTGCATCATCTTCGAAATAAAACCGAATATTACAAAAGAACTGTACATAAGAAATAAATTATGTACATTTTCTACAAGAAATGAGTGTCCTCAGCGTTGCAGGAAGTATCTAAAGCCCTGTGTCAGAAAGTTGTTCGCTTAGAACATTATGGTTCCGTGTAATATAAATCCCGTAGCGAATGTTGGTAATCTCTTTCTGCGGAACAGAGAAAGTCGTGGATTCATCACATAACCAGCTCTGACAAACCGCAATCG